CCGCTCTGCCCGCCGAGGTGCCCCCTTGCTGGCTGCATGTCTGAGGCACCCCCGGCTGGCGCTGCTCTGCCCGCGGCCCTGCCTGAGGCCGCCCCTCTGCCCGCAGCACCGCCTGAGGCCACCGCTCTGCCAGCGGCACCACCTGACCCTCCTGTCCGGCCTGACCTGCCTGTCCAGCCCGGCTCTCCAGTCCAGCTCGTCCTGCCCTGCTATTCGGTCCAGCCCGTCCTGCCCTGTTCTTCGGTCCAGCCCGTCCTGCCCGTCCAGCCCTGCTCGTCGGCCCTGCCCGTCCAGCCCTGCTCGTCGGTCCTGCCCGTCCAGCCCTGCTCGTCGGTCCAGCCCATCCGGTCCTACTCGTCGGTCCTGCCCGCTGCAGCTTCACCCGAGGTCCCGGCTTCGCCTCCACCCGCTGCAGCCCCGCTTAAGGCCGCCAAGCCCGCGGCTCCACCTGCAGCTGCAGCCGCCGCCACGCCCGTGGTTCCGGCTGCGCCTCCTGCTCCGCCCACGGCTCCAGCCGCCACCAAGCCCGCGCTACCCGTGACTCCCGTCCCTGAGGAGGTCCCGGACTGTGCCATTCCCACTGCTCCTCCAGTGGTGGACTTGGAGGAGAAGCTCGAGTGGGACCCCTCGGGAATCCAACTACTGGGTTCCCCTGACCCAGGCAGGAACAGGACTACTTTGCCTGGGCCCCTGAAAGGGGGAGCCCGACAAGGCCCCCGCCTGTCTGTGTCCCGCAAGGGGAGGGGGCATAGACTTCGGACCGGGGTCCCGCCTGCCCTGCTCCCTGGCTAGCCCTCGCGCGCCTTGGCTGGGGCTCCAGGGCCGCCTGCGGCTCCTCCGGCTCCGGGCCAGCGGTTGCCTGCGGGTCCCCCTCCGTGGCCCCGTCACACGGCCTCGGTCCCGCCTCCGACTCCGCGTCGGTCGCCTGCGGGTCCCTGTTGGGGAAAGCGCCGAAGCTTTGACCCCTGCAATACCTATGTGGAGAAAGCGTACTGGCTTCTCACTCCACACTTACTTAGATGCAACAGACAATATCTGCGCCTCAGTTCAGTGTCACACAGGGCAGTCCCTTGGCTTCTTTATTTATACAGGAGGGGAGTGGTTACAATGGGGAGTATCCTAAAGCTATAATGCTGCTTGTGCTTCTTGCGAAGGGGTTAAAACACAGGACCTTGCATTCCTCAGAGTGGGCCCCCTCGATGTATCGACAGAGTCTATTTCCACTCCCAGGGTGATTGTTCCTTTTTCACAATCTTACAGAGTTACAGAAGATGTCCTGTTCTAACAGGTCTCTACGTCAAAGTTGATAAACTATTTGCCTACATTCACACAATTAATATGATAAGAAATTTACATTTTCATTCTAACAGTCCCCCTGCGCCGGCACGTCGGCGGACGGCACCTCCGCCCGCTGTGGCGGCGCCTTCGCTGGCTGCGGTTTCCCCCTTCTCCTTCCCTTTGCCGTTGGCCCCTCCGACTCCCTTCTTGTCTCCTTCGTCTGTCCCTCGTCCTGTCTCCTTGTTCCCTTCGTGGTCCCCTCCTGCTCCCTCCTTCCTGT